CACTACGGGTTCTCAACCTTTTTATTTTTGAGGCCCCCCAAAACACGCTATAAAAAAGCCACTGGTTTTCTGCTTATCAAAGCAAGGGCCAGCATTAGGTGTTAGCAAGCAGTGCAATTGCTTGGGGCCCCATGCCACAGGGGCCCCCCCACAGCTAAGTTGCTCAGGCTTTGGCTTCAGCTCCCGGTGGCAGGGCTCAGGGCCCCGAGCTTCAGCCCCATGCGGTGGGACTTCCGCTTTCTGCCCTGGGCCCAGTGAGTCTAACACTGGCCCTGCTTGGCGAACCCCATGAAACCTGTCCGGAGCCCTCTGGGGGGCCTCAAACCCCTGGTTGAGAACCACTGGCCTACACTACCCTAACCACAATCCAGTGCTAATTGATTTCATATTAGTGAACCCAAATGTGATCTCTATCTAGGAAGCAGAGGTGACTGGTTACATATTACGGTTTTTTGAACGTGTTGTGGAGCAAGTACTCACTACAGTAGTTTGGCTCTTCAATCACATTTACCAAAAACACTGATAGAAACAAAGTCAATTTCCTAGTAAGATACATTCTAGAGATTGGCCCAGATACCCATGAACTTTAGGACACTTGAATACTGATGCAGACATTGTAGGTTGGGCCCATCTCTAATGCCCTCTTAACTGTAGTTTCAGATATTTCTCCCAAATATCTTTTTCTTTTGCCCACTTTTCCTTACACTGCTGCCTCCTGTAGCATCCTAGCTCAGCCTGACCATATGGTGAAGTAGCTTCCTTCATTGACCAAATAGGAAACCCCAATATCTTGGCTTTTCTCTATGTTTAAATGAAGATTGACTTGACAAGGATCAGCAGCAATACAGTTTTAGCCAATAAATATTTTTCCTTTTTCTCCATTGTGAAATAGATTTAAATAAGCATAATTGGTATTTTCAATGGGCTTCATTTTGACATTCCATCAGCCACTCACAGGCTAGCAGCCTTAGACGACACATATTCCCACTATTCTTGCACTAGGAAGTTAATGAGGGCAGTTCTTGGAGACAGAAAGGCCTTTTTGATAGGACGTCCCTGGAGGTGTTTGATTCCCAGCTCACTTTGAAGAATTAGTTCATGGACTTCCTCAGCGTTCCGGGCTACTTGGCGAGGCATACTAACTTTGCCACAAGCTTTGTTATTGATCTGGAAAACAGAGACATGACAGCAAGAAAGGACTGAAGTTACTAAATTGATCCAAAGGACTTCATATCTACACTCCAATCCACCCAGTTACACTTGTAGGAAACAATGATATCAAACCTTCTCTCTTTCTTTATTGACTAGAAAGAAAAAACAAACAACCCCCTAGGTACCATATAGAAAGAGAGTGACTCTGATTCACAGTTTATGCTCAAGGAAACTTGAAAGAATGGCAATGTGAAGTTCTCCTTTTCGAAGGCTTCTAGCACCAGCAGAATATACAACTCTGATATATTAAATGCATAAGCCGAACAAGGAGACAGCAAATCTAACTGTTTGGCAGATGGAAATTTTTGACAGTTTGCTTTAGACTTTTGCTTTGTCTTTTTAAGTACTTGAATGATAAACCACAGAGATTAAACCACATTATTTTAAAATAAAACTTGTGACAGAGGAGATATCTACGAAAGAGATTATTCACAAACTATTTTTAAAAAATGACATCCGTTTATTAACAAGACGATTATCCATAAAGCTAACAGCAACTGCTAGGAACACATCCCCTAAGAAGGTAATGCTTTCATTTGTTTGGTTGCTTTACAAAACAACTTGCATACTGGCTCCCTAGCAGCAGAGAAAAATCGCACACTACTGCAGAATAACATCTACCTAGAGATTTATTTAAAATTATAAAAGGCACCTCTGGAGATGCCTTTCACCCTTTCAACACTGCAGATCATTTCAGCCAATAAAACAGATGAAAGGAAGGAGAGCGGACATCCCTCCTGAACTCCTCCTCCCAATTTAAAACCAAGAGATTCATGACCACAAAAGCTGTCAGATTTGTATGTAACATCTTAATATAATTAATGAAATCAACCTCAATCCTAAATTATATCAAGTAAGGTTATTAGATATTTTTATTCAGTTTAACCAAATTACTTCCCAGTAGGAATGTGGAAGGTCACTGTAAGTGTCGCAGATCTTTGCCCTTTGGATCAAAAAGTAACATTTTCCATGGAGTTTGGACAGAAGCTACTATTTCTTTTTGCCCGGCTCTTAAAAGGAACTGCTCTCTGTTTTCTAATTCACCTACTTCCCTTAGCTCAGAGACGGCTTTAACATAAGAGATATTAAATCAATGTGTGCTGCTTCAGGCACACAGACTATTCCATCTCTCTAAAAGATGGGAATTCAGGTTAGGCTGAGGGCACATGTTACTGGGCCCACTCTGGGAATTTTTTACACCACCATTCGTTTTTAAATGGAATATAGAGGATTCAATAATGCTGACCATTGACAAAAAGACTCACAATGCAACGTGCTCGAAAACAAAGAACAGCCTGGCATTTTGCTGGCTAGCATAAACAACAGAATGAGAAAGGGAAACAAAAGTTGTAATGGTCCCCCAGGTTCCCCCTACTTAGGCTTCTTTTCTAAACCAAACATGGCCAGTTTTTTTTTGAAACTTTTCCTCATAGGTCAGATTTTCTAAACCGTTTAGCATCTTTGATGCTCTCCTTTGGACTCTCTCCAATTTATCCACATCTTTCTTAAAGTATGGTGCCCAGAATTGGACGCAGTACTCCAGCCGAGGGTCTCACCAGTGCCAAGTACAGCAGGACAGTTACCTGCTGTGTCTTAGATACGTCACTCCTCTTAATACATCCAGAATGATATTAGCTTTTTTCACAACTGCATCATCATTGTTGACTCATATTCGTGATCCACTATCACCCCCAGATCCTTTTCAGCAGTACCATCACCTTGCCAGTTATTCCCCATTTTATAGTTGTGCATTTGATTTTTACATCCTAAATCCAGTACTTTGCACTGATCTTGAAGGTGAGGTGTGTATTTGTTTATATTTTTTGTAATTTTCAGCAAAGTCCTTTTGATTGTTTTTGAGTTACGGATGAATGAAAAAGCCATACTTTTGCCATTGTAAACAATTTTAATGACTTTTTTTTAAAAAAATAGGACGACAGCAAAAACTGTAGTCTGAAGTTTTTGCCCACTTGGCATGAGGGACTTTCCTTTGCTTGGAGGACAAAATGAGAAACCGTAAGCAACTGAAAAGATTCTTCTAAGCATTTGCTAAGGATTTTAGCAGAACCAAAGGCACCATATATCACATTCTGCCCATCTGGATCAACCAGGGACTCAGGCAAGGATAAGAGATTTTGGTCTCAGTCTGTTAACAGAACAATTTGCATGAGGAAGACTATAACCAAAGTCTTCATTGTCTTTTTCAATGTGAAGATACAGTTGTCACAATGCAAAATGATAATAAAACTGTCCACATCTAAACTATAATGGCAAAAACTGGGAAACTCATGCATCCTGCACCCTGTTCACCCAAATGAGGTGAGGACTTAAGCATATTTATGATCACTCACATGCTACCACTACTCTGGCAATTTTCCTCCTCCTTCTTTTTTGAAAATAAACAAGGATTTTTAATCCATCCCCAAAATTAATACCAGTGTAAGGCTGTACAGTTAACAACAGACAGGCATTTTACAGAAGTTAAAGATTCCAACAGTAACATTAACTCAGCTGCACTGTAAATATAGCTAGTATTTTCTCATTCTGTTGTTCAGGTTAACATTCTGTTGTTCAGGTTAACATTCTGTTGTTCAGGTTAAATGTGTAGTGGAACAAATTATTGTTCATATTGCAAAATGTATATCACAAAATATGAACAATGTGCCATGTGACCTTGTTAGAATTTTCACCTGTGCATTTCCTGACTTTTTTGTGAAAACAGTTGTAGAACCTTAATGTCACTTTCATAATGTTTTTCTATTTTACATACACACACCTAAATAAAATCTTTAATTACCTGATCACATACTATTTATTTTAAAGATCCTGGCTCCTTCAGTGCACATGATGGACAGAAACACAAGAGAACATCTTTACATATAGAATGTGTGTGTGTGTGTGTGTGTATATCATGTAAAAGGATGCTCTCTTTCGTGCACTGAGTGAGGCAGGGGTCCTGTAGATCAAATAGTCTGTGTGACTATATAATTAACAGTTATCGTAATGCATGTGGACAAATGGCTCTAATTATAGTTACACAGGCACCAGAAGAGCTAAGCCTGGGACTCATGGCATCCCCCTCCCTCCAAGGTCCAAGCTCTGCAACTGTTCCCCTAAAGGCTAAAGAGACAGTTGCTGCTGCTGTCCCCCAATCTGGAGTTAAAGCTTTGTTTGGTCTGGGAGCATGCTGAGTGCAGTCAGGAGGTTCCAGAGATTTTAGTAGCAAGCTATATTGATCGTGTGCAAATGGGAATTTCCAGAGGCTCGTAACTTGGACAACTCTGGATGGATTTTCCTGGGGACAGCAAAAGGCATTTCTCTCTCTGACCCTAGGACTACTTCCTTACCAAATTCCAAGTTCTTGCTGCAAAACATGAAGGTGCTATAAGTCTGCAAAACACAACTAGAAAAAAATTTAACACTGGGAGAATTACTTTATTTCCTCATTCCTGGAAACAGTTAATCATGTTTTGCTGAGATCTGCAAAGAATGTCAGTCTGAGGTAGAGACCAAACATGGAAAATTTAGCCCAGACAAAGTTTGGCTACGTTACAAGCAACTCAGAACAGGTCTTACAATGGTAAATGTTAGGTAACCTTAACAATAGGCAGAGTAGCCAGTTTTGCCTATAAATATACACTTTTTATATAGATACATCATCATCAATGGATTAATAGATTAAAAATATGTAGGGGCCCCTTAGCTGATATGTTCATAGTTTTTGCTTGAGACTCACTCAGCTCTGCTCTGACGTCCCTGTCCTCAACTGTGCATAAGCCAAACCTCTTAGCCCTGGTCTACACTAGGACTTTAGGTCGAATTTAGCAGCGTTAAATCGATTTAAACCTGCACCCGTCCACACAATGAAGCCCTTTATTTCGACTTAAAGGGCTCTTAAAATCGATTTCCTTACTCCACCCCTGACAAGTGGATTAGCGCTTAAATCGACGTTGCCGGCTCGAATTTGGGGTACTGTGGACACAATTCGATGGTATTGGCCTCCGGGAGCTATCCCAGAGTGCTCCATTCTGACCGCTCTGGACAGCGCTCTCAACTCAGATGCACTGGCCAGGTAGACAGGAAAAGAACCGCGAACTTTTGAATCTCATTTCCTGTTTGGCCAGCGTGGCAAGCTGCAGGTGACCATGCAGAGCTCATCAGCACAGGTGACCATGATGGAGTCCCAGAATCGCAAAAGAGCTCCAGCATGGACCGAACGGGAGGTACGGGATCTGATCGCTGTTTGGGGAGAGGAATCCGTGCTATCAGAACTCCGTTCCAGTTTTCGAAATGCCAAAACCTTTCTGAAAATCTCCCAGGGCATGAAGGACAGAGGCCATAACAGGGACCCGAAGCAGTGCCGCGTGAAACTGAAGGAGCTGAGGCAAGCCTACCAGAAAACCAGAGAGGCGAACAGCCGCTCTGGGTCAGAGCCCCAAACATGCCGCTTCTATGATGAGCTGCATGCCATTTTAGGGGGTTCAGCCACCACTACCCCAGCCGTGTTGTTTGACTCCTTCAATGGAGATGGAGGCAATACGGAAGTAGGTTTTGGGGACGAAGAAGATGATGATGATGAGGAGGTTGTAGATAGCTCACAGCAAGCAAGTGGAGAAACCGGTTTTCCCGACAGCCAGGAACTGTTTCTCACCCTGGACCTGGAGCCAGTACCCCCCGAACCCACCCAAGGCTGCCTCCTGGACCCAGCAGGCGGAGAAGGGACCTCTGGTGAGTGTACCTTTTAAAATGCTATACATGGTTTAAAAGCAAGCATGTGAAAGGATTACTTTGCCCTGGCATTTGCGGTTCTCCTAGATGTAGTCCTAAAGCCTTTGCAAAAGGTTTCTGGGGAGGGCAGCCTTATTTCGTCCTTCATGGTAGGACACTTTACCACTCCAGGCCAGTAACACGTACTCGGGAATCACTGTAGAACAAAGCATTGCAGTGTATGTTTGCTGGCATTCAACCAAAATCTGTTCTTTATCTCTCTGTGTTATCCTCAGGAGAGTGAGATATAATTCATGGTCACCTGGTTGAAATAGAGTGCTTTTCTTCAGGGGACACTCAGAGGAGCCCATTCCTGCTGGGCTGTTTGCCTGTGGCTAAACAGAAATGTTCCTCGCTGTTAGCCACAGGGAGGGGAGAAGGTTGAGGGGGTAGTCACGCGGTGGGAGGAGGCAAAATGCGACCTTGTAACGAAAGCACATGTGCTATGTATGTAATGTTAACAGCAAGGTTTACCCTGAAAGAGTGTAGCCACTGTTTTATAAAATGTGTCTTTTTAAATACCGCTGTCCCTTTTTTTTTTCTCCACCAGCTGCATGTGTTTCAATGATCACAGGATCTTCTCCTTCCCAGAGGCTAGTGAAGATTAGAAAGAAAAAAAAACGCACTCGCGATGAAATGTTCTCCGAGCTCATGCTGTCCTCCCACACTGACAGAGCACAGACGAATGCGTGGAGGCAAATAATGTCAGAGTGCAGGAAAGCACAAAATGACCAGGAGGAGAGGTGGAGGGCTGAAGAGAGTAAGTGGCGGGCTGAAGACAGGGCTGAAGCTCAAATGTGGCGGCAGCGTGATGAGAGGAGGCAGGATTCAATGCTGAGGCTGCTGCAGGACCAAACCAGTATGCTCCAGTGTATGGTTGAGCTGCAGCAAAGGCAGCTGGAGCACAGACTGCCACTGCTGCCCCTCTGTAACCAACCGCCCTCCTCCCCAAGTTCCATAGTCTCCACACCCAGACGCCCAAGAACGCAGTGGGGGGCCTCCGGCCAACCAGCCACTCCACCACAGAGGATTGCCCAAAAAAAAGAAGGCTGTCATTCAATAAATTTTAAAGTTGTAAACTTTTAAAGTGCTGCGCTTAAAGTGCTGTGTGGCATTTTCCTTCCCTCCTCCACCACCCCTCCTGGGATACCTTGGTAGTCATCCCCCTATTTGTGTGATGAATGAATAACGAATGCATGACTGTGAAGCAGCAATGACTTTATTGCCTCTGCAAGCAATGATTAAAGGGAGGAGGGGAGGGTGGTTAGCTTACAGGGAAGTAGAGTGAACCAAGGGGCGGGGGTTTCATCAAGGAGAAACAAACAGAACTTTCACACCGTAGCCTGGCCAGTCATGAAACTGGTTTTCAAAGCTTCTCTGATGCGTACCGCGCCCTCCTGTGCTCTTCTAACCGCCCTGGTGTCTGGCTGCGCGTAACCAGCAGGTAGGCGATTTGCCTCAACCTCCCACCCCGCCATAAATGTCTCCCCCTTACTCTGTGGAGCACACAGCAAGCAGTAATAACAGTGGGAATATTGGTTTCGCTGAGGTCTAAGCGAGTCAGTAAACTGCGCCAGCGCGCCTTTAAACGTCCAAATGCACATTCTACCACCATTCTGCACTTGCTCAGCCTGTAGTTGAACAGCTCCTGACTACTGTCCAGGCTGCCTGTGTACGGCTTCATGAGCCATGGCATTAAGGGGTAGGCTGGGTCCCCAAGGATACATATAGGCATTTCAACATCCCCAACAGTTATTTTCTGGTCTGGGAATAAAGTCCCTTCCTGCAGCTTTTGAAACAGACCAGAGTTCCTGAAGATGCGAGCATCATGCACCTTTCCCGGCCATCCCACGTTGATGTTGGTGAAACGTCCCTTGTGATCCACCAGAGCTTGCAGCACTATCGAAAAGTACCCCTTGCGGTTTATGTACTCGGCGGCTTGGTGCTCCGGTGCCAAGATAGGGATATGGGTTCCGTCTATAGCCCCACCACAGTTAGGGAATCCCATTGCAGCAAAGCCATCCACTATGACCTGCACATTTCCCAGGGTCACTACCCTTGATATCAGCAGATCTTTGATTGCGTGGGCTACTTGCATCACAGCAGCCCCCACAGTAGATTTGCCCACTCCAAATTGATTCCCAACTGACCGGTAGCTGTCTGGCGTTGCAAGCTTCCACAGGGCTATCGCCACTCGCTTCTCAACTGTGAGGGCTGCTCTCATCTTGGTATTCATGCGCTTCAGGGCAGGGGAAAGCAAGTCACAAAGTTCCATGAAAGTGCCCTTACGCATGCGAAAGTTTCGCAGCCACTGGGAATCGTCCCAGACCTGCAACACTATGCGGTCCCACCAGTCTGTGCTTGTTTCCCGAGCCCAGAATCGGCGTTCCACAGCATGAACCTGCCCCATTAGCACCATGATGCATGCATTGTCAGGGCCCATGCTTTCAGAGAAATCTGTGTCCATGTCCTGATCACTCACGGGACCGCGCTGACGTCGCCTCCTCGCCCGGTATCGCGTTGCCATGTTCTGGTGCTGCATATACTGCTGGATAATGCGTGTGGTGGTTAATGTGCTCCTAATTGCCAAAGTGAGCTGAGCGGCCTCCATGCTTGCCTTGGTATGGCGTCCGCACAGAAAAAAGGCGCGGAACGATTGTCTGCCGTTGCTCTGACGGAGGGAGGGGCGACTGACGACACGGCTTACAGGGTTGGCTTCAGGGAGCTAAAATCAACAAAGGGTGTGCCTGTACATCAAGGAGTATTTCAGGCAGGACTGCATGGAGGGTTCCAATAAGAAATGGTGCACCTAAGTTATCGTTGTTATTGGAACAAGGAGGTTAGCCTGGCCTCTGATTGATACATGGCTAGATTTACCTCGCTGCACCTTCTCTGTGAGTGACTGCAGTGTGATCTAGACAGGGGAGGAGGCAAATGAGTACAAAACAAATCTGTTTCTATTTCTTGTTCTGACCCACTCCATCTATCTTTTACATCTTTGGCTGGCAGCAGACAGTGCAGAAGGACTGCATGCCATCCACATCTCATGGCTGCTCGGCAGAAGATGGTACAGTACGACTGCTAGCCATCTTCATCTCTTGCCTGCCTGGCAGAAGATGGTACAGTACGACTGCTAGCAGTCCGTATCGCCTGCCCGCTCACCATAAGACGGTTCAATAGGACTGACTGCAGGACTAAAGAGAATGACCTGGTCAAGTCACTCCAAATTTAGTCCCTGCGCCCATGTCTGCCCAGGCGCTCCCAGCCGACGTGGCCAGGAGCACCTCGGACACGACGAGGACGACTACCAGTCGTATTGCACCGTCTGCTGCCAGAAGGCAATGGGTTGCTGCTACTGTGCAGCAAAGCCGTACCGCGTCTGCCAGCACCCAGGAGACATAGGGTGACGGTTACCTGAGCTGGCTCCATGCTTGCTGTGGTATGGCGTCTGCACAGGTAACTCAGGAAAAAAGGCGCGAAATGATTGTCTGCCCTTGCTTTCACGGAGGGAGGGAGGGAACGGGGGCCTGACGACACGTACCCAGAACCACCCGCGACAATGTTTTAGCCCCATCAGAGTGCTCCATTGTGACTGCTCTGGACAGCACTCTCAGATGCCCGATTGTTTGCCATTGCTCTGACGCTGGGAGGGGCGCTTACAGGGTTGGCTTCAGGGAGCTAAAATCAACAAAGGGGGTGGCTTTACATCAAGGAGTATTTCAGGCAGGACTTCACGAAGGGTTCCAATAAGAAATGGTGCACCTAAGTTATTGTCCTTATTGGAACAAGAAGGTTAGCCTGGCCTCTGATTGATACATGGCTAGATTTACCTCGCTGCACCTTCTCTGTAAGTGACTGCAGTGTGATCTAGAAGAATGAGTCCCCTAGACAGGGGAGAGGGGGAAGCAAATGAGTACAAAACAAATCTGGTCTATTTCTTGTTTTGATCCACTCCATCTATCTTTTACATCTTTGGCTGGCAGCAGACGGTGCAGAAGGACTGCATGCCATCCACATCTCATGGCTGCTCGGCAGAAGATGGTACAGTACGACTGCTAGCAGTCCGTATCGCCTGCCCGCTCACCATAAGACGGTTCAATAGGACTGACTGCAGGACTAAAGAGAATGACCTGGTCAAGTCACTCCAAATTTAGTCCCTGCGCCCATGTCTGCCCAGGCGCTCCTGATCGACCTCACAGAGGCGACCAGGAGCACCTCAGACATGACGATGACGGCTATCAGTCATACTGTACCGTCTGCTGCCACAAGGCAAGGGGTTGCTGCTACTGTGTAGCAATGCCGTACCGCGTCTGCCAGCACCCAGGAGACATAGGGTGACGGTTACCTGAGCGGGCTCCATGCTTGCCATGGTATGGCGTCTGCACAGGTAACTCAGGAAAAAAGGCGCGAAATGATTGTCTGCCCTTGCTTTCACGGGGGGAGGGAGGGAACGGGGGGCTGACGATATGTACCCAGAACCACCCGCGACAATGTTTTAGCCCCATCAGGCATTGGGATCTCAACCCAGAATTCCAATGGGCAGCGGAGACTGCGGGAACTGTGGGATAGCTACCCACAGTGCAACGCTCCAGAAGTCGACGCTTGCCTCGGTACTGTGGAAGCGCTCCGCCGAGTTAATGCACTTAATGCACTTAGAGCATTTTCTGTGGGGACACACACACTCGAATATATAAAACCGATTTCTAAAAAACCGACTTCTATAAATTCGACCTAATTTCGTAGTGTAGACATACCCTTAGAGTAGTAGTATCCACAATCATACAGGTATCTTCATACTTTTTTATTCTTGGTTTCTCTTGCAAGACCACTTCATTTATTCATCTGAGCAGTCTTCCAAATTAACCAGCACAATTCTAACTTTAGCTTTCAATCTTTCTAACCTAGCATTGAGTCAATCAGCAATGTAAAACCTCAACTGTAGTCCTCAAGAACAAAACTAGCAGCTAATAATGCATTCATTGACCACTGCTGAAACTCAGCTTGTAAACTCTTACCAGAACAGACATCTCTATGATATCTGGTTGCTGGAGGTATTCTGGGTCCACTTTGGGCCAGGATTGATGCAGCACATCATCATCCCACTTATGATACGTACAAAGTTTATTCTGCACATGTGCCAAACCTACAACATAAAATTGATAAATTGCTGATCGTACTTTAACTCGAACATTAAATCTTTTTAGTCTCATAAATATGTCAAAAGACTGCTTAATTTAAATCTTGTCCAAAGCAAATCAACTTGGAGGAAATAATATGGTTTAGTTTAGCATACAGCATATTATAAACAGAAAGATACATAGCATTCAGAGCTTTGAAGGGGATTTTCTTATATAATATACAGGGATTCAAATGTGAATGCTTTTCAGATTATGGTTAGAGCTCCAAAACTTTTGCTACTTTGTCATAAGGCACAGATATAGATGGCCAAAACTTACTCTGTTTTAATTTAAATTGATGCTACATTATTACATACAATAAACTTTAATCTTTAATCTTATAGCTAGGGCCTTACCAATTTCACGGCCATGAAAAATACATCAAAGACCATGAAATAAGCCCTTCCATGTGAAATCCGATCTCTCCCTGCTGCTAAGAGTGCCTGGGCCAGGGGGCTCCTAGCTCTGGCCATCCCTTGCACAGCCGCTCGGGGGAAGATTAGACCCACCTCCACCTCTGGGAACCTCCTGCACTTTCAGGAAGCTCTGTGGTTGCTGCTTTCAGAGTCCAGCTCTGCAGGCAGCACAGAAGTGAGGCTGGCAATCCCATGACCCTCCCACAACAGGTTTGTGATCCCTGCACTATCCCCTTTTGGGTCAGGATCCGCAGGGTTACAACAACGTAAAATTTCAGATTTAAACATCTGAAAACGTGAAATCTATAAATTTTCAAATCCTGTGGCCGTGAAATTGACCATAATGGACCCTGAATTTGGTAGAGCCCTATTTATAGTCAGTCAATTCTCTGCACTCTTCACAACTGCAACTAGCTTTGTTTAAATCATTGCTTAATCTCAATCTCACACCATATTCAATACGATACTTTTCACATTTAAATCACTAACCCTCACTGAGGCTCTGTTTCCCAATCTGTAAAATGTTGTATACCATTATTTGCAAGGCTATGTACAGATTTCTGTAAAGTGTTTTGAGACTC